CGAGGCGCCCAAGCCGCCGGGCGACGAGTGGAGCCGCAAGGGCAGCTTCATCAGCAAGCCGGCGCAGGGCTGGCTGCACCCCGACGAGCGCGTCCTGGGGCCCGGCGTCTCCTACATCGTGCGGGTGAGTCCTGCCGCCCCCGGGGATCTGCGCCCCGGCTGCGGCCCTGCGTGGGGCCGCGGGCTCCGCGGCCGAGGCTGCTGCCGGGTGCAACGCGGCCGCTCGCCTGCCCGTGGGGCAGCCCGTGTGCCGCAGGGCGGGAGGATGCCTGGCCCCGGGGGGTGCTCGGGCTGGGGGTGCTCGGGGCTGGGGGTGCTCGGGGCTGGGGGGTGCTCGGGGCTGGGGGTGCTCACGGCCAGGGATGCCCCACCAGGATACGCGGGCTCCGCAGTGTCTCGGTTTCCCCCCATCCCAAGGGCCCTTGTGCAGGGCCGGGCGGCTCCAGGGGCTGCTGCTCGGCCGGGGCAGTCTCCCAGCTCTCAGCCTGGTCGGGGCTCGTGACGGAGCCTCCCCGGTGGAGCGGGGGGTTTGGGGGAGACGGGGGCCACGGTGCCGAGCCCCTCGCGAGGCCGGGCCTGCCGTCCCCGCAGTACATGGGCTGCATCGAGGTGCTGCGCTCCATGCGCTCCCTGGACTTCAGCACCCGCACGCAGGTCACCAGGTAGGGCCCCCCGTGACCACGGCCCCCATGGTACCCAAGGCCCCCGGGGCCACCGGAGCCGCCTCCGTCCCCTCCCTGCGCGTGGAGGCCAGGCCGTGGCGCGGAGCTGGGGATAGGGCTGGGGTTGGGACTGTGCAGGGTGGCAGGGGCAGGGCTGGGATTGGGGCTGTGCAGAGGGACAGGGATGTGCCAGGGACAGGGCTGGGGTTGGGGCTGCGCAGGGCAACAGGGATGCCAGGGATGGGGCCGTGCAGCGCCGAGCCGGGGATGGGGCCGCGCTCGGGGACACGCTGGGGACGCGGCGAAGGGCACCTGCCAGCGCCGGGTCGATGGCAGAGAGGGGAGGAGGGAGGCGGGCGCGGCGGGCGCGCCGTGCGGTAACGCGGCGCGGCGGGCGCAGGGAGGCCATCAACAGGCTCTACGAGGCGGTGCCGGGCGTCAAGGGCGCCTGGAAGAAGAAGGTGAGTGTCGGGCGGCCGGGCCGCGCGGGGCTGCCCCGGCCTCGGGCTGAGCCCGGCGCCCCCCAGGCCCCCAACAAGGCGCTCGTCTCCATCCTGGGCAAGAGCAACCTGCGCTTCGCCGGCATGAGCATCGCCGTCAACATCTCCGTGGGCGGCCTGCACCTCACGGTGCCCACCACGCGGCAGGTGAGCGCGGCCTGCGCGGTACCCCCAGCCCCATGGGGCAACCCCGGCCCCGTGCGGCGCCCCCAGCCCCATTTGGCACCCCGGTCCCCACACTCACCCCGCGCCTCCGCAGGTCATCGCCAACCACCACATGCAGTCCATCTCCTTCGCCTCCGGCGGGGACACGGTGAGCGCCGGCGGGGCGCGCGCTGGGACCGCCGCTCGCCCGGCCCTGAGCGCCCGCTCTGCCCCCAGGACACCACCGACTACGTGGCCTACGTGGCCAAGGACCCCATCAACCAGCGAGGTGCCGCGGCGGGCGAGGAGGAGCGGGGCGGGCGCGGGGTCTGGGGCGGCTCTGGAGCCCCCGTCCCTGCTTCCCAGCCTGCCACATCCTGGAGTGCTGCGAGGGGCTGGCGCAGAGCGTCATCAGCACCGTGGGCCAGGCGTTCGAGCTGCGCTTCAAGCAGTACCTGCACAGCCCGCCCCGCGCCACCGTGCCCCCGGACAGGTAGGGCACGGCACCCCGGAGCGCAGGGACGGCGTTCCCATGGGGTCGGTGTTCCCATGAGGCTGGCACCATGGAGCATGTGCCTGGGGTTCCCATGGGACTGGTGTTCCCACAGGGCTGGTGCCATGGAGCGTGTGCCCGGCATTCCTGCAGGGCCGTCCCTTCCAACCTTAACCATTCTGTGATTCTGTGAGGGCTGGCACCATAGAGCGCGTGCCCGGCATTCCCACGGGGCCAGCATTCCCATCGGGCCGGCATTCCCACGAGGCCGGTGCCATGGAGCGCGTGCCCGGCGTTCCCGCGGGGCCAGAGCGGGTGCTGCCCAGGCTGTCCGTGTGCAGGGCACTGGGTGCGGAGGAGTCGGCCTGGGGGGACGAGGAGGACGGTGCTGAGCACGACTACTACAACAGCATCCCGGGCAAGGAGCCGCCGCCGGGGGGGCTCGTCGACTCCCGCCTGCGCCCCGCGCCCGGCCGCACGTCCCTCGGTGCCCAGGTGACCCGGGTGCCCTGTCCCCAACCCATTGGCACCCGGCGCCCACCCTGTCCCAGCTGGCACTGCTGACACCCGCTCCGCTCCCTGCACAGGGCGGCTTTTCCCCCCGGCGGGACCCGGGAGCAGCCTGGGAGCTGGAGGCCGGTGGGTCCTGGGCCGGGGGGGGAACGGGGAGCACCGGGGCCGCCCTAACGCGCGTGCTGCAGCGCGTGCCGGGGACGGCTACGTGCAGGCGGACGGGCAGGCGCCAGCGCCGCGCGACTACGAGGAGCACATGTACGTGAACACGCAGAGCCTGGAGGGCCGCRCGGGCCCCGCCAGCCCCAAGAAGGACCTCTTCGACATGCGTGAGCACGGCGCCGGCGCGGGGGGGACCCGCCGGGACCGGCCGTGGCGGTGACGCCCGCGGCCCCCTCCCGCAGGGCCCTTCGAGGACGCGCTCAAGCTCCACGAGTGCCTGGCGGGCGCCGGCCCCCCCTTGGAGGACCGGTGGCCGAGCCCCCCCAGCCGCAAGGCCCCCGTGGCGCCCACGGAGGAGCAGCTGCGGCGGGAGCCCTGGTACCACGGCAAGATGAGCCGGCGCGACGCCGAGAAGCTGCTGCGGGTGGACGGCGACTTCCTGGTGCGGGACAGCATCACTAACCCGGGCCAGTACGTGCTGACCGGGATGCAGGGCGGGCAGCCCCGGCACCTGCTGCTGGTGGATCCCGAGGGAGTGGTAAGCGCCGGCCGCGGCAGGGACGCGGGTGGGATGGGGAYGGGGCGCAGGGGGGTCGGGGTTGCGCCGTGGAGGCTCCCCAGGACCTTAGGTGCCCGTGTGGCCCCTGCAGGTGCGGACCAAGGACGTGCTGTTCGAGAGCATCAGCCACCTCATCGGCCACCACCGGCAGCAGCAGCAGCCCATCGTGGCGGCCGAGAGCGAGCTGCACCTGCGCCAGGTGGTCCGCAGGAGGCCGTGACGCCGCCGCCGCGTCCCGCGCCGCGCTCCTGCCGCCCCCGCGTCCTCCCGGCCCGCTGCCCCAGCACCCACCGCTGTCTGTGCTGCGTGGGCGCCAGCACCCGKCGGGGGCAGCAGCAGCAGACGAACTTCGGCTCCGGTGGCTGGTTTGCAGAATATTTCTAATTAAAGCTGGAAGCGAGCTGGCCTCGACCCTTCCTTTGCTGTCAGGGCGCTGGGCCAGGCACCGCAGTGGCTCCTTGGTCGCTGCCTGCTCCGTTGCTGCCCAGACCCAACCCCGGGCTCCTGCCGGGTGCCCCCGGGCAGCTCCGTGGGCTCCCAGCCCCGCGTGCGCTGCGGGGCGCCCGGCCCGGCCTCCCCRGGGCCGTGCGGGATGAGCCAGTGAGYGGGAGCAGCTAAAACACTTGGCAAYGACAGGGTCATTTTCCATCAGCACCTGCCGGGCACCCGCGAGCGATGCAGCCGGAGCCCCGGCTCCCGRGATGCTCGGAGCCGGCGTCGCCGGCTCTGCCTCCCGCCTTCGCTCCGGCGCGGGGTCGCGCGGGGCCGGGSGGACGGCGGTGGCTCTGGGGACGGCAGGGAAATGGCAGCGGAGCGGCTGGCGGCGCACAGGTGCCGGAACAGCCGGCGGCGGTGGCTGCGTTTGCGCTAGCAACCTGTAGGCTCCAGAGTTAACACCAGACTGAGGGGGAGGAAGCAACACCCACCTCTCGAGCTGCTCTTTCAGCCCAGCTGAAGACAGACRAGTGGGGACGTTTTTGCTCAGCAGAGTGAGCGCTGCATGGTGCTCTGTTATCCCGCGCCTCCGGCTCCTTCAGCCGCCCGAGCCCCCGGCAACGCGCCGAAAGCTCCGTGGACAGGGGCACCTCGGGGGTTGATTTTTGAGGAGCTGCTTGAAAGCGAAGAACAAGCTGGGGAAGGGAAGCTCCGCAGGCCCCGTTCCCCGTGTGCTCAGCCCTGTAAGAGCCACCCGAGCATCCCAGGGGGCCCAGCAGGAAGCTCCCTGGCAGCGGGAGCTCCTTTCAGCAGCCCTGGCTCCCTCCTTCCCGGCCTCCGGCAGGTGCCAGCAGCCATCCCRACCCGCGGCGGCTCCCGCTGCCCCTTTCCCAAGCGGCTCCAGCGGCTGCAGCCTCGTCCCAACCTTGGCCCCCCCGGTGCCACCCCGGCCTCAGCAGGGAAAGGAACCGGACACAGATCCAAACGTGGAGCCTGAGCTGGAGCTGATCCCACTGCTCCCGGGTGAGGTGCCACTTCCCGTCCCGCTATGACCCGTCATTGCTGGGCTACGATGCTCCCACCCCGCAGCGGCAGGAGCAGCCGGCGCCCTGGCTGAGCACGGGGAGCTCGGCACAGGCCACGGGCACCCGCAGCCCCGCGGCCGCCCTGCCGGCCCTGGCCCCGCTCCAGCGCCTGGATTATCCYGGGGAACTCAACCATTTCTGCGCCTTGTTTACCTCCCCAGCACGGGTGCAGCGTGGCAAACAGCAGCCCCGGTGCTTTGCTCACCGGCTACGGTGATCGCCAGCCTCTGCCTCCAGCCTCCTCCTCCTCCCCCTGTTCCCACCRCCCGCACCCAGCACCCTGGCACCAGAGGGGCTGCGGTTTGGGGATGCTAGAGGCGGCTCCGCACCCCGACCCCGCCAGGATCCTGGCTGTCTTCCCGGTGCTGGGGCTGGACTCCCAGAACGCTGCTCCCTCCGGCAGGATGAGCAGCCCRGGCGGAGCAGCAAGCGGTGCCGGCCCGGGCCGGAGCAGGAGCCACCCGGCCTCCCGCAGCGCCCCCAGCCCGGCTGCCGCCACCGCCGGGACCCCGTCCCGGGCCGGCACCAACCGGGCCGCATCCCCGGCGGGGCCGGGGCCGTCGCCCCCAGCACCGACACGAAGCCCCCGACACCGGCGGCTCAAGGGGAGCCGCGGGACGGGTCCGGGGCGGGCTCGGCGGGAGGGCACCGGGCTCGCCGCCCCCTGCCTCGGCCCGGGGGACCCGCCGCCCGCGCCGTCGGGGGCTCCCGGCTGCGGGGCAGGGCGGCAGCTCCGCGGGCCCGGCGGATCGCCTCGGCTCGGCTCGGCTCGGTTCGGCCCGGGAGGGCCTGGCCCGGCTCGGCCCGGCGCAGCGGGCGCGGGTGGAAAGCGGGGGCGCCGCGCTCGGAGGAATACGGCGGCGCGGCCGTATAAAAGGCGCGGCCCGAGCGCCGCCCGCGGCGGCGGCGGCGGCGGCGGCTGCGCGACAGGTGCGCGGGGCGGCGGCGGCTCCCGGGACCTCGCGCTGCCGGGGCGGGCACCGGGCACCGGGCCCCGCGGGCACCGGGCGGCGGGACGGGCGGACCCCCTCGGTGCGGGCGGCTTCTCCCCTTCCCCGCGGCGGGTCCCGGTGCCCCTCGGTGCGGGCAGGTCGCGGGGCGGGCGGGTCTCGGTTTCCCGGTGCCCCGCGGTGGCGGCTGTTTTCCCCCGGGACGGCAGAGCCGCGTTCCGGTGTCCCTCGGCGCGGCGGCTCCTCCCGCGCTGGCGGGTCCCGGTCACCGGGGCGCCGCAGTTCCGCYGGGTCTCGGTTCCCCGCGGCGCGGCCGCTGCCCCCTCTGCTCCCCGGAGCGGCGGGTCCTGCGTGGCTGCCGGTTTCCTCCCTCCCCCGGCCGGTGGGAGCTGGTGCCGCCGGGCATCGCTGCATCCCCCGGCGCCAGCGCGGCGGCTCCTGACCCCGCTGCTCCCTCGGGACTAGCCCGCGGGTCTCTTGCAGCTGGCGGCACCATGTGGCTCTTGGAGCGGCTCCGTGGGGCGGCGGAGAACGGCCGGGGCGCGGGGCCGGAGGAGCCGCCGCGCGGCGCCCGCTACAGCAACGTCCTCACACCGGACAAGATCCCCGACTTCTTCATCCCGCCCAAGCTGAGCGCGGCGCCCGCTGAGGCCGAGGGCACCGAGCCCCCCGCGCCCGCCGCCCTGGGCGCCTCGGCGTCGGAGCAGGACCTGGCGGGACGCCGGCCCCCGCGCAGCCCCCGCGCCCCCAGCCGCCCCCGCGCCCGCCCCGCCACCCGCCACGTCATCCAGGTGGAGAGCGCCGAGGACTGGGCGCCGGACGAGCTGGGCACCAACGCGGACCCGCAGGCGCAGACGGCCATGTCGCTGCCCTACGTGCCCAAGGCGCAGACCTCCTACGGCTTTGCCACGCTCGTGGAGAGCCCCCACACGCGCCGTAAAGAGTCGCTGTTCCACAGCGAGCACGGCAGCCTGTGCCCGTCCCCCGCGGCCTCGCCGGGCGCCCAGCGCCGGGCCAGGCCCGAGGGCGAGGGCAGCCCGCGGGCGCCCGCCGACCTGGGTGCCGCCCTCATGCACCCCGGGCGCTACTTCAGCGGCGGCGAGAGCGACACGTGCTCCTCCGCCGAGTCCTCGCCCTTCGGCTCGCCGCTGCTCTCCCGCTCCGTCTCCCTGCTCAAGGTGTTCGGGCAGGAGAGCCAGGCCAAGGTGGTGAAGCTGAAGCACTCAGTGGCCCGCAACAGCTCGCTCTCCACCGACGAGAGCTCGGCCGACACGAGCCCCAGCGCGCAGCGGCGCGCGCGCAGCGCCC